TTTTTTTCTTTTGTCAAAATAGAAAACAATTGTAAAGTCAATGAGATTCTCGATATAAACTTAATTAATATTTATTATTCCTCAGTTCAAATAATACAACACCAATATAATTGAACATTTTGGTCTTAAAAGTAATTTTTATAATTGATCACAACTTATAACATAATATTTTTATAAATCCACAAAACCATATTTTGGGAACATATAGTAGATAAAATTATTTTTATAAATTTATATTTTACTTAATGTTTAAAGCAAAATAGAAAATTTAAAAAGTACTCTGACGATCTAGTAATGATAAACATTTGTATAGTCAGAAGTAGTAAATTGAATGCATACATTAGGATATTTCTGCCGCCATTCTTGAACATTCACTTCTTTAATGTTCTCACAAAAGTTAACGTCCATCAACTTAAGATTCTCGCATTTCTCTAGGAACTTGGAGCAAGCGTCAACTGTTATTGCTCTGAGACCGACCAAATCAATTTGTTCTAATAAAGGACAGTGATCCGCAAATGCAAGAAGATCACGGTCACACATTCCACGTAACGATACGACAATGATCTTTTTCAATTTTGGACATGATTTCACCAAGTCCACAAGACTATCACCAGGTATACTCAAGGCCAAACTATATAAATAAATATAATATTAATCGAAATACAAATGAGTATATATAATATAACATAGCATTGATTGAAAGTTACTTGCATCCCAACAAAGTTGTTAATCAAAATTTCTTAAAATGCCTTTAATATTATTCAATAATAAACAAATATTCAGATACAAGATACCTGATTTTATTAATTTGTGATGCAAGTAAAATGTACCATTATCATCATAACATATACTAACCACCATCCGAGATCAATTTCTTCTAGGTCTTTGAGGACTGTTAGAAACCGCAGCCCATTAGGAGATAATGTGTAACTCTTCCAGAAATCCACTGACACCAATTGCTTATTTGATTTAGATAACATATATGCTATATGATCCATGCAATCAATTCTTTTACATGATCCTAGTTAAAGAAAAAAAAAAGCAATTATTTCAATTGAACAAAACTATACATTTTATTTAGTTTATACCTAGATTTATGTGTTTTAGTTTAATCATAAGGGGTAGATATGATTCCAAAAAAAGTATGTTGACATTTGTTCTATAGAAATCTATACGTTCTAGTTGACATAAAAAAGTTGGTGGTGATACTACTATTGAAAAATTAATCTTAGTACAACTTCTCAAACTCAATTCTGGAAAATCAACAATTTAGATTTATGTGGAATTTTAATGTAATAGATCACTTTACCTTTGATGCTGTAGCAGAAGAAATTGAGTATGATTAATGTTGTGTCATCAACAAATCCACAGTTGTCTAATCGTAAATCTATCAAATTGCAACCATATTGCTTCAAAAATCTAATCATTCAATAAATAATGACAAAAATGTTAGTTATAAATCATTATGATTATTTTAAATACTTATTGATACAAAGTACATACATATTAAATGGTAAAGTTTTTATTCCTTTTGTAATACCACACCAAGATAAATCTAACTTTGTGATTCGAGTACAATATGGTTCTAATGAAGTGAGCATTTCATAGGAAAATGAAGACCAATAAGGCTAGAAAAATACAAAAAAATTATATAATATATTACAACACATAATCTATAAAATATAATACTTAAATAAAGTTATAAGTATATTTTTCATAGAAAATAATACATTCAAACAATTATTGTAAACTAATGTACTTACTTTTAAATTTAATTCTCTATAGAATAATGGGTCTGAACAGATGGACTTAAAACGTTTGCAAACTCTCATGCACAAGCGTAATGATTTTAAATCCAAGAACGAAAATATGTACATTAATGTTTCATTCTATATTTATGAAATTGTAACTTAAGTAATAATAGATTATTCATAAAATATGATTAAAAAAAAAATATATACATACAGGCAATTGCAATGTATAATCAATATTGGGTTCATTGCGCCATTCACTTTCAAGTTCTTCTATATTTTTGATAAGTTTCAAAAAAGGATCTAAACTCGTTGACATGGGCATCTAGAAATATATACAAATTTTATTTATTTCCAAGTTTTCAACATAATGATAAAAATTAAAAAAATAACTTACATATGAAGCAACAGATGGCATTCTAACTTCATTTAATATCTCTTGATCTTTTATTTCATTGTTATCGTATACGTATCCTGACAATGTATGAGTAACCAAGGGTATCGATAAAATTCCAAGTTCTCCATTCTCTGGGTAATTTAAAACTCCACCCATAGATACAGCATCTAACTCTGTATAGTAATCCAATTGGGAGTGATTGAACTCTATGCATATTTCTCTACAAAATATTTAACAATTTAAAATGTAACAATGAAAATGGTTAATTTTTATTTTAGTCTCTAACTTGACTCGTTCTTTAATGAAATTTAATTTTGGAGCAAACAATCGAGAATGTCTTAAACCATTACAATTCTGCGGTAGTCCTTCCCATAACAATCTCCATGCATCTTTATCAGGAAGATCAATAACTTTTCCTGATATACGTACAATAGAACCAGGCGTATATGTTTCAAATATAGAGATGACTAGGGGAACAACTGGTGTAGCAAACGATAATACTAAAATTAACGAAAAAGATTAATTAATTACAATTTTTGTAATGCTATTATTCTACATTACTTATAAAATCTTCACTCTTTATGATTCCAGAATTTTGTGGCATAATTTGACATTTTCGAGATGGAGCAAGTTCTTTCCATGGTCCATAAGATCTCTATGAAAAGAAAAAGAAAAATATTATTTATATATTATATAAATAACCTTAAAATAGGTTAAAATCCTGATTTTATGTATGTAATAAAAACATAATTAAATTTAAATAAAAAATAACACATCAAAATATATAAATGGAAAAGTAAATTTTACATAAAATGATTAATACTCTCCTAAACAATAATAAAGAAATTGATAAGATATTTTCAGTCTGACAAAATGTTTTACATTACTTTTAGGAGGAACTTGATTGCAAAAGAAAAAGATGACAAATGTGAGAGGAAACAAAGTATGAAAATATGTCGATATAAACATAATTGACAGAACAGTGTTTCAGAGAGAGCCGATGCTTTCATGCACAGAACTATGGTGACAGGAAACCTCTGGGAGAGTGAGGCTGTCGATGATAGAGAAGAATCTTTGCAACGTTAACGCACAGCCTAACAACAATCGTCGGTATGGTGGACTTACCATGACGTACGACTGCGGGAAGTCTCCGTAGTTAGGAAACTTGCTGGGCCGGCCGATGAGGTTGCTGGCCGTGTACGATATGCTGATGTCGCTGCCGTACTGCGAGCTGAAGTCCACCACCTCTGACGAGAACTGGAACACGAAGTCGTAGTCGAGAGCGGACGGTTCCTCGTCAATGCGCCCGAGCGTGTTCCGCTGGTCCATGTACGTGCGCGTGTAGTCGATGTACGAGTTGCACAGCTTCTTGAGATCGGCCAGGTTGAAGCCAACCTGTTCGTCGTTCATTTCCGTAGTGTCGGCGGACAACGGCGGCACGGATCCCGAGTGGCGGTGGTCGCCTCCAGTTCCATCGAGCGGACTAATTCGGCGGTGTTGCTGCGTCCATGGCGAACGTCGTCCGCATTCGCCGTAGGGCGAGTTTGACGATTCGGTGGACACGGACAACGGTGATACGACGAGAACGCTTGGCGCAAATACAGGACGCGCGCGCGAACGACGACGAACGGATTACGGATGTTAAGGTATGCGATATTATCGGATGTGGTCCGCTGCGTTGTTTTTTTCTTCTCTTTTCCTTTTCAATCGCGCACGGGTCGTCCTCGCCAATGGTACACGTCCCCTCCGCCCCGCACCCGCACAAACCATTCCAACGCCGCGACGGGTCCGGATCATTGTTCGACGTGCCGTGCGTGATAACCGCTGATAACGCGAACGCAAACGCTGCCAACTTTCACGCACCGAGATCCGACCGTTCCCGTACTCCTGACCAGTGGCGGTTCGTAAATGTACGTGTTCCCGGGGCGGATTTATTTGGACCGTCCGCCTATTTCGAAAAAATTGTTCCGTCTTAGCTCAGTTCTTACATTATAACAGCTCCAACGTTAAAACGTTGTCTATGTATCGCTAAATATGTTCGTAAACGTACTGGTACGCCTAATACATTTTTAGTTTGTTTAACAAAATATTTACAAGAAAAAATATTTTTAACGGGGCACTGTCCCCCCCTCCCCCGGTAAAAGGTCCCTTGCGAGCCGCCTCTGCTCACCTAACTCAGAAGCACCGAGGTCCAATGGTCCGTGGATCAAACGATCCGCAAAGTCAAGGGAACAGAAAACGTCAACCACGTGATAATGTACCGAGTTTTGTTGGCGGTTTCGATTGTCCCCTGTCCGTCGCGGACTGCTTCGTTTTGGGATCGTATACGTTCCGGTTCATTTTGTCCGCATCAAATCTAGATTTAATCTGTTCTGTGGTCCGAGTTCGAGATCACAGTGTTTGCGGTTGCTTGTAATATTAATTGTGTTAGGAGCTGGACGAATATTTTATATACAACCAACAATAAATAAAAATTGAGTAACTTTTTAAAAAGTAAAAATGTTTACAAAATGTCTTCCAACTTGATCGTTAAAGATTCATTTCATTTTTGACAGGGACTACTGTAAATTAAGTATTAAGACAATTAATAAAGACATCCAAACTCCATCCCTTCAGATCTTTGACTTATAAACTATATTTTTCCAAAATTGGAAAAGCTTCAATACCAAAATTGAATACATACAATAAATACTGCCATTTGAATAAAAATACAAAGATAATTGTCATAAGATAATAAGTATAAATAATATATGTATATATGAATATGTTAATTAGCATTACTTTCTTTTCAGTATGTCATATTATATATTCCCTTTATCAATTTTTGACGTTTTTGCACAAATAAGAAAAATATCAACTGTGTTGTTAATACAACTACTATTTTACAATTATTGATATAAGGTCCCAGAATATATCAATTACAAAGGTAGTGTTGCAAATAAATAGGTCGAACAACAATATTTTTATATGAATAATGAAAGAATGAGAAACTTGTATAACAATGAAGTACATAAGACAGTGAATACTGAAAACTTCACTAAAGTTGCAATGCCAATAAATTTAATATTTTTCTCAGATTGTTATAAGATTAAATTTTATTTTTTATTTGTAAATTGTAAATATTAATAATTCAATAATTTCTTGTTTATTGAAATTAATTACAATATGGTTCAATAAAATAAGTTATTAAAATCGACCAAATTATAGATTTAAAACATTAAATATTTATTATCAATGATGATTGTTGATAATGTTAATGTAGTTGTTTTTACACTATCAGTTAAATCTTTCAATTATCCCAATATTGATTAATTAAAGGTAAAAATTAAAAACTAATGAATATAAAAAGGGGAAAAAATACCCTTTTATTTAATTATAAATGATTTAATAAAAAAAAAAAAAACAAAAAACAAATTGTGAACTACTATTCAATTATTATACAATAATACTCTTGTAATAGTTGTTCCGAGTAAATATTATACATTTTCCATACATTGGTAAAAAAAAATTAACCAATTTATAGTTAATACATTAAGTTATAATATATTATTACAATTTGTATACACAATTTTTATAGTCCAGTTCTGCTCTTACAACTTGGAACTCAAACATGTTGAGGTGTAAGACATGCCCTTCCTGTTTGACGTAGTATATTTACTGAGTTCCAGTGGAAAACAAAGCGATTAATCCACTGGCAATTCCAACAGAAAATATGTAATTACTGTAAAAATAAGTTAAGGTAATACACACAATTATTTTGTTTATTAGTTTATTACAGTTAATTTTAAGTTTAAAAATTTGAAGTCAATTCATTTTTTTGAGTAATTAAAATATACAAATACAAAAAAAATTTCATAAAATACTTTCATTCTAATAATCACGTCATTATTGAAACATTTTGAATATCAATGAAAATTAAATAAAAAACTTCCTTTAATGTTAAACTATAATAATCTCAAAAATATTCAATCTCTTTTAATAGTTTAACATTTAAAAAATAAAAAATATCACAAAAGTATTATTATTTCTAGCAATAGTTTTAATGAATAAGTTAAATACTTTCATATGAGATAGTTTTGAATACTCAGAAAATGTTATGAATTACGTACTTTAATACTATTCAATCTTATAATTATTTCAAATATAAAATAATTTGATTCAAACTACTGAAATCAATTATTTTCATTTACATTATTTTAAATTATACAAATTTACTTTTGGAAATATTATTGTTGATCATATTATAAAAACCATTAACTGTATTTAGTTTGTGCATTTACAAATTCATTATTTAAGGTAAAAAATATTAAAATGTCAATGATTAATTTCTACACGACAAAGTTTTAAAAGGATACGCTGTTGTCGAGAATCCTTTCAGGAGATAAAAACTAAGCAAGACAACGATGACCAAAAATAAAGCATTGTTGTAGAAAATTGAAAATGCAGTAGCTTCATAATCAGCAACATCATTTTTCTGGAATAACGCTCTAAAATTAAATAACAAAACATTAATTAACAAAAAATTTTATTAGTGTAAAATGAATCAATAAACACAAGATTAACATAACATTATGAAATTTCCCATTAAATTAAACACAACAAAGTAAAAATATTTTACTTTTTTAATTTGCCAACTTGCAATTTAGAAAAAAATAATTTAACTACAGCACAAGGATCATAAATAATTTATTTATTTTAATTTCATTTTGGAAATTCACTCAAAATATGTAATAATCAGTAATACATTTTCAAACTTCAAATTTAAATGATTGTGTATTTAACAAAAATTAAAAGTTAAGAATGTAATTTTATATCTTTAATACGATTAAACTAAAATTAGAATTATTATAAAGTTATATAATAAATGAATGACACACAATTTCTTTTTAATTCTTTATGACCCCCAAAAAAAAATGTTGTTATGATATAATTAATAGGATATTAATAATAAATAGAAAGAAATTAAATTCAGGAACTTAAATTTAACAGAAATTAATTATTTGAAAATGTTTATGCTAACTGAAAGTATAGTACTGTATAAAACAATTATATTGTAATGTAGTCATAATTTAAAAATTCAATACTTTTCATCCTTTTCCTTCTTGCTAATTTTCTTATCATCAGCATACTTCCTGGTGATTTCTCTAGTCACGGCTTCCTCTCTCTTAATCGCAATCTAAAAATTAAGATCCATTCTGAAAATAGGTAGACACACAACAGGTTGTGGAACAAACGGTAATGTACCTTGTGTTTCAGTATGAATTTGGTGTTTTTGTAAGCGAAAGCAATGAGATACGTGCTGCCTAAAGTGACGAGTATGAACCAAAGGAGTGCCGGCATCATTTCAATCATGTGAATTCTCCAGTATAGCCCTGCCAACGAAGAACGAATGACGGTTACAAACGATATCGTGGTGTAAAACGTGAATTGATTGATGAAACTCACAGATTGGCAGTGCGGAAACCATGAAAGCGCTGCCGTAGAACAGCGCGGAGGATTTGGTAGAAACATTTCTGCTGAAATCCGACAGCAGTTGTTCTTCCTCTTTGGTGAACAGACTCTCGGCACTCTTGTCTTTTTTGCCCATAGTTGCACTGGAGATTACGGGAAAAGGCACAAGAAACGAGAGCGCGGACGGACGTCGAGGATGTGGGCAAAGGTGTTCAGGAAAAAGGAAAACTACGACCAACCAAAGGTACCCGGAGCGGCGACGTGTACAGACAGCAGCGGCGTAACAGTTATGTTTACGTATCACCGCTCAGGTCACGACCAACCGTGCACAACGTGTTCGTTCCCGCGCAGTGTGACCGCTCGCGCGATTCAAAACTTCCGTCACGTGTCGGTTTCCCTCCCGGCCAACGTTTCCTTGACGGTTTTTTCGTTTTCGTTCACGCGTATAAAAGCCACACAATTTTTTGAAACTGAATCTGAAATATGTTCCCAGTCCAAGGTTGTACAAGAATGTGAGAACAAATATTTTTTATTGGTTCAGATATTATATTGCATAAGCAATTACTTACTAATTGCATAATGGCAATAAATTGTATACTTGATATTAATATTACTGATTATATTACGTTTTAAATACTCTGTGTTAATATGTTAAATATTTTATAAATAATTGTAACTACATTAATTAATTATTTTGCTTTTGAAAGTCTCCCAATTAAAAAATAAATATTATTATTAATTATTTTATTAATTTTTTGATTAGATCATCAATTTTTTCATTATAATATTTGACTCATTATTGTTGTAACCAAATTTCACAGTATAATTATTATCGTTTTAATATAAAATATATGGTTAGCTACATTTTATAGTGTTTTATGGTTTTCTTCAATATTGCTAGGAATTAATTTATTATATTAAAAAATGCACTTGAATTATCTATGTGATCAACAGACCATAAATCCTTATACATATATATATATATAAAAGAACAAGTCTTTTTTTGTGTTCCCATTTTGTGACTACACTATTTAATATTATTCCAATTTTTTTTCACCAGGTTGTATCAAATACTCTTACGAGTAATCTTTTTTCCACAATTTAATTTTATTCCTCATTTCAGTTATAATTGTGATACATTACTTTTCTATTGATACAGTTGTTGATTGTGAAGAATCGATACATTTTCCTACAGAGTTCTTAAATTCACAAACATTCTGGGATATTTCCTCATAAATTATCACTGAAGGTGGAAGTGAATGTAGCGTTTTCTAGAGTTGAAAGACCTGACCATTTATACGTTTATACACCACAAAATAAAACTGAATGTTGTATGTCAAGAGGTTTTGACTTAGTTATCATAGAAATAAGTAACTCAGTGTAGAATAATTTCTAAATATTTATAAATAAAGTTAAATTATACAAATTATAATTATAACCATTGCTTATTAGAATCATTTATAAATATTATTATTACAATTATTATTTTTCATTCATAATTTAGATACTGCTATTATTTAGCATTTGATCAAATTTAGTTAATTAAAATAATTAAGAATTTAATTTAGAGAAAACAAAAACTACACACGGCCAAAGTCAGGTATTTCAGCTAATACCATATAAAATAACAATAGAAATAATTTAATAATAATATTATATAAAATTCATAATATTTTCACAATTAATTTATTTAGTGTACAACAATAATTAAAGCTTAATCTTTTTAGATACCTACATAAACTAGTTCCTTAATCATATGACTATGATGTATATTCATCAATGGTATATTTTAATAAATTACTGAATTCAAGATTAATTATACTCAATTATAATCAATTATAATCAATTATGTTTTATAAACGATTCAAGTTGTTAAGATGAGAAGATAACATTCATTCTACATAGGTTTATTTAATAGAAATGAATGCAGTAGTATGTAGTGATAGTCAATAAATTCATTGCTATATCACTCTATATTATGTAGTAGAACTATTGTAATTATAATCTAATTATTAATTACAAAAATGGGCCTACAATATTTTACTTATGTTATCATAGACAAACACAAAAGCAACCAATATAATTAAATTGAAAGTCACAAATTTGTGTGACAAATATACTTAAAAACTACCTTAAATAAAAATTAGCTAAATCTGCAACTAAAAGTTTAAATTATTTTTTTTCTATTAATTAAATCAAAAAAATATAATTTTATAACAGATATTATCTAAGTAAATATGATTATAAATTATTAATTAGTCGTAATTACTAGACTAAGAATTGGTCACGTAAAATTAACACTTAGCTACCTAATGTCTAAAGAGGTAAAATAAATGCACCAATATGCATTTCATGTGGGGTACTTATTGACATAAAGTACATATTTATACAAACAGCATATACAAAACAGACAAAAAACATTCAAAGGTTCCAATGTCATTCACTTCTATTTTTAACCAGGATTCCAATTCATTCTCAAACACTATAAAATTGTTACAGCAGAACTTACAAACAACATATAAGCATCAAATTAATATATTTAAATTTTTACTTTATATCACACACTTATATTAATTCAGATTCATTGTAATCATGTTAATACCATCCAATGGCCACTGCTGCCGAGGGTTTTTTGCAAATAAATAATAATTATTAATTACTATTTATTAAGAAAAATAAATAAACTTAGGTACTTTATAATATATATATATATTTGTATTAACTATTTTTATTCTTTATGGTTTAGCACAACATTCAAACAGAATTTATAATTTTTAAAACAAAAAATAGTATGACTATTACTAAAACTACTACCGAGACAGTTTCAGTTTTAAAGGCGTGTCCCAGTCGATCATTTAGTTTGTCCGTTAGTTTATCTAATCGGCACGGTCATGTACATTAATAATATATTTTTGTATCCATATGAACGTTAAATCAAAAAAAAATCATTCAATATGGTGTCCCCATTTAGGGGTTTTAAAATTTGACAACTCTATCTATATACATAATCTTGATAATAAAAAAAACTAGTTTTTTTATTTTATACTACTGGCTATTATCATATCTCAATAATGTGTTATATTAATTAACTAATATCAGATCTTCAAGTTATGAACTAAAGATCATTTTTTACTGAAACTGTTATACAGTACATCTTGTTTAAATGTTGTCAATTCACTTATGGAACAATTTAGTCTGTGACATACTATTAATAAAAATAAATTAAAGATCACAACATTGAACTATTTGCTATAAAATAACATGTACAATATTTTATTTAATACTTTATCTAATAACTTTATTCAGCATTAAAATCATAGTTTTCGTTTAAGATTTTATGTTAAAATATTAAAATATGACCATACACATTATATCCTCATAAATTCTATAAATATGTAGGTATAAGGAAAAAAGTTATGCAAAAAAAAATAAATAAAATATTGAAAACTTAAAAAGTTCATTAAAATTCATAATTGAATAAAATAAACACATATTTTTATGTACAGTTTCATGGAAATAAACATAACACTACATTTTATCATTTAAGACTGTCTAAAATAAAAATTTAGTAAGTTAGAGGCCTGAATCAGAAATATAATACAGCTTATTAAAATAACTACGGCATCAATATGTATAAAATATTTACTCAAACGCACTTAGTCAGATACCAAAAAAAAACTTAATGGTTTGAATATAAAAAAAAAAAAGAATCAATTACCTTAGACTAATCAGAACATATTATAATACTGTAAAAACAAATAGAATATGAAAAAAATCGAGTGACAATTGTGCGTTGAACAAATAATTCATTATAAACATTCATGATCAAAATCAGACAGATTTTCAGTTAACAACACAATTTATACCGATTTCGGCGCTATTGATACAAATAATGTATTCTTACGATTACGCCATGAAAAATGTAAAGGACAATCAAATAAACGGACGGGGAATTGCGAAACGGAAAACGAATGATCACCGCAGGTTATTATGAATCATGAATATATTCATACACATATTGATGAATTGCAAATCACAAAATTAAAGTCGCGAGCAACATAATAAGCGATCGCCACCAAAGGACCACGATATCATCACACGGGACACCACTATCACCGGCGTAGCGGCTTCTGGTACCGGAACGCAGTGCGTGCACACGCCCGGTACCGCGTCGTGCGCGCGTCACTTTCGGTTCGTCTTCCATGAAAACGCACACGATTAAAATTATGTTCCTTGGGGTGTGCTTAAATCGGAGTCGAGCTGAGTCATATTGTAAGAATCCAATGCCCGTAGTAGTACACCGCGCTGTCGCACAACGAATCGTTTAAGATTTTCCAGCGGCAAACGTCCGGCGAATTTTTTTCCGTTCGCGCGCGTTAACGTAACACCGGCCACACTCGCCGTTCGAAACTCGCGCCTGTCTACGGTCCCCGACGACGACGTGTGAAATCCGTTTTGTATACCGCCCGGCCACCGCCGCCGCTGTAATCGTTCTACGCGCGGAAAACCCAATCGTAGCAGTCGGTCCGAGATGGCATCCGGAGTAACCGTAGCAGATGCGTGCAAGAAGGTGTACGAGGAGATTAAAAAGGACAAGAAGCACAGGTACGTGGTGTTCCACATTAAAGACGAGAAGCAAATCGACATCGAGGTGATCGGAGAACGCAACTCTACTTACGACCAGTTCCTAGAAGACTTACAAAAGGCTGGGCCGCAGGAATGCCGTTACGGCCTTTTCGACTTTGAGTATACTCACCAGTGCCAGGGCACGTCGGAAAGCTCCAAGAAGCAGAAGCTTTTTTTGCTGTGCTGGTGCCCGGACACTGCTAAAGTCAAGAAGAAGATGGTCTACTCATCCAGCTACGACGCGCTTAAGAAGTCATTGGTCGGCGTGCACAAAGCGTTCCAGGCCACGGACCATTCGGAAGCGTCCCAGGAAGTTATCGAGGAGAAACTCAGGTCCACCGACAGACAGTAAAATTACGCCACACATATACATACATACATACAAAAATAATACATATTATGTATATTTATAAAAACAAAGTTTTCATCTTTTACGTTTTGGTATTAAATTCAATAAAAAACTTAAAAAAAAAACCATTATATTAGTTCTTCCACAACGTAATCGTTTATTACGAAAATATTTAAAAAACAAAAATTGAATAAAAAAAATACTTATAAATTTTAAAACATATACTAACATTTAAATAAACAAATAATCATATGCATGGTTATAAAGCGATATGTCTCCGTCGGAGCATTTATTTTATACCTATATATTATTTTAAGTACTTTTAATGCATGCGTGTTTAATTTATCATGGACAAATTATACGTATTTTCAAACTTGAAGCTCTATTTTGTTCGTTTTTTTTTCTTTTTCAATTATTGTTATCGTCTCTAATACACTGTTAAACACTACTACTATAACAATATACTATATTGTATAATTTCCCAAGATACGTGTATGTACAATTCGCATTAAACAAGTACTATTAATTAATACTATTAAAAATTAATATCTCTTGTGGCGGTATAGCTATTTTCATTTTTTGTGTCGGATTCGAACTTTGGATGTTCGGTTTCTTTTTTCTATCTCCCGTTTCCCAGTCTATTATCGGCGTTTACTCATCCGACCGATGCACACTCATGTGTGCGTGTGTGTATATATTTATAAATATATATATATACATATATATACGGTTGGCTAATTTTATTTGGTTTTTTTTTTTTTCGCCGTCGCGCCACCACTCGTTCCACCATCATCATCATCATCTGTCGTTACGGCGGTGGCGGAGAGAGCGAGTCGCCGAAGCGAACGAGTGCGGTGGCGGAACAGACGCGTTGATAACGTTTTACTGATACGGGGCGGCGGCAGGGAAGGGCTCCGGCTTCCGAGCGCAGTGCTACCAACGCGTTCCTGTCGGAGCCTTTAAATGGAACGACGACGACGACGCCGCCGCCGTAGTCTCAAATTAAACGTTTCTAAAATAAGAGCCGTTCTCGAGTCTCCCGCGTTCGTCTGACGGGACCGAGAGGGGGATAAAAGAAACGCAAGGAGTTCATTCGGAAAGTTTTGACCGGAATGAAACGCGAGCTACACACACGGGGCGGCGTAGTAGTAGTAAAACCGAAGATGGGCTATTTACGAACGTTTTCGCGCAGGTCTCGCCGGTCACTGGTGCGGTAAAAATAACGTCGCGTCGGTCCACGATCGCGGGGGGATAATATCGTTTAAAAATACAATATACGAGCGCGCAAGGGCCGATGGAAAAAATAAAATTACTCGTGCGGCGGCGCGGACGTGCTACCTACGCGGCGAGAGACGGCGCGCGCGTAGCACCGGTGCCTGTGCCGTTGGCCGCGATAAATCATCCGGATAATAACCGCGCTCGCGTCAACGAAAATTACGTGTTGATGAAATTCGTTATTTTTCCGTTTTCGTGATGTACGGTACCGCCGCGTGGAATTCATCCTGACGGCGTGACGTAGCTTTTCCGCGTACAACAATGGTCGAGTACCATTACGGTTTTATTATTTTTCGTCGGAATCGAGAGAGAGAGAAACGGACGCGGAATGGAAAACGTACGACGGACGGGGAAGTCTGCGTACGTCGTCGCCGGTGAAAGTACGTGCGCAACAGTGCGGAGCGGCCGACAGAGTCGCCTTGGACGACACCTCGGCCACGAAATAATGTCGTATTGATTTTTTTTACCCCCCTCGCTCGGAGCCTGTCCCCGTGTACCGCAGCCGCGTTACTCCGCACTTTAATGTACGGTAGATAATACGTGATTTTGTCGTTTCCCCGTTTGCTTGTACGCGCACGGCCATTGTGCTACGACGAATTCCGATTATTATTATTATTATTATTATGTGTTCGTCGTGTAATCGTACGCGCCCATTGTTGAGTTCATCACGTTTCCGGCGCGCGCGGTGTTCGTGTCCAAGGAGGTCCCCTGTCTGCGATCCGTCGCTACACTTCTGTAATATCATTACAATTCGTTAACCGCATCGGAATATTACTACTACTATTCGATTCTACCGGATTCGGACTGCGGTAGACAGACAGAGAGAGTGAGAGAGAACGCGGGCGCCCGTTTAATTAATTCTTCGCTATATGCGCTTGTAATCTACACGCGTATGTCATACATAGTGGTGTCGACCGCAGGTCCGGGAACATTTCGAGGACGAAGTTGAAGCGATAAATTCGAGGGCTTGCGTATAGATCACGTCAAATCGTGTTCTTTGTTCGTACCATTTTTTCGGGAAAACCGACGTTGATGCGATTCGATTATTATTATCATCATCATCGTCGACGCATACGTGCACACTGCACAGCGCACGTGCAACGCATTTTAAACGCACTGATAAAGTGACAGTTGTTTCGTACCGAATAAGGTACTATATAGTATTTGTATACAAATCATTTCTAGTGTTTTACTGTACTCGCACTAGGTACAAAAGCCTCTACACACAATATGATCTAGTCGGGCCGATAGGTATAATTCGATTAGGTTGGGTGTCATATCAGATCGTGTGTAGATGTGTCATCTATCCTGTCGGGTCTTGACCGATGCCCGTTCCATCCGACCAAATTATATATTGTGTAACACTGTCAGGCGGATTTTGCTTATCAGTCGGCTTTTTAACGTTGTTCATTGTAATTTGTGGTTACGAAATTGTAGTTAAACGAAAGCGAGTTGTCATCCAGTCACAAAACACTACTGCACTAATGAAAATAAAATTCATCTGTGGGACCGACTAGATCGTATTTTGTGTAGGGGGCTTAAGAACACCGTCGAGCGATATAGATTTTTACGAACACACTGCATCTCGTGATCATAAATTTATTGGTTGTCAATGCACACTGCGATGAAAACGATGTTCAGGTAATTTGGACCGGCGGAAGGTTTTTCGGAGCTCGGGCCGCCGATGTTATTCATAGGGCCCTATGATTTTTTTTCGTGAAGTGAAAAAAAAAAATGTCATGAGCACTTTTGAACTCGTACGACATATTTTTCTGTTTAACTTATGTAAAAAGATTTTTTCTCAACATAGATTTTATATTTTACCGTCAAAACGTCATTAACATATAATTTTTCATTGATTTATTATTATTATTATTATTACACTATACCGCAATATAAGTATCTACTAAACATAATATTGAAGTTGAAGATTAAAATACCATACACGTTTTCAGCATGATAGGAGGCTCTTGTGATTTAATATAAAAAATGTCTGCCGGTGACACTAGACGGTTTTAAAATGGTCAGAGTCGCCATTTTAAATTGGTATACCGTCGAGAAACTTTTCCTGTATAGTATAATTAACCCAAGGTATTCGGTTCAGCTCTACCTATCTAAATAATGATTATTATAGTTATTGGTCCGATCACCAGTACTTCGACATATCTAGATAGATTCGTATTGATATTTTAAATGAAAATATTTTTCTTAGCAACACGAAATCAGAGAGACGACATATTGCCAACGATAAACTACATAGGGATACAGTGGCGCCCAGACAGGTTACCGAGGGCTGCATCGCTTGTGCTTTCGTCGGGAGTGGGTGTATGGGTGGGTTGGTGGGTATATAATTGGATAACTTGGATACCAAACATTATGGAGTATGGTAAGCAAATAAAATTATTATAACACAAACATTATACCTATGCGGCACTGGGTGTAGACACCTTAATTTTAATTAATTAAAATAATAAATCTTAATTTCTTAAATTTATAGTTGTTTTAAGAGTTAGTTACAAACAACAATTTTAACCAACGGTTTTTTTTTTTTTTAATGAATTGGTGAGTGGGTAACTTTTTTTAGTTGCATGTGCTCTCAAAATACTTCTGTGCGTCACTGTAGGGATAGCAGGTAAGTGATACATTTTATATCAATACATATGACATTTTAAGAGATTTTAGGTATTTAAAAAAAAAAAAAAATTGGTTGTATTTAAAAAACCGTCATTTTGTAAGCTTAATATTTTTATGTATTATATTTACAGGGGCGCGGTGTTGGCCTTGAATGTTCACTTTACCCTCGACGCGCGTGTTTTATCTATATTCCTCTAGAAACCGAGTTCTTCGCACCAGTGCTGTCGTTAGGGGGCAGACAGCTTAGGTAATTACCTAGAGCCTCGCACTTAAAATAAATTCGAGGGCTCACAATTTGTCAAGTTAGAATAGTTAGGTGTGAGGAAATTGTACTTCTTTTGCTTAGGGCCTCGCAAGAGCTTGCGACGTCATTGCTTCTTCGCACAGATTATAAATTTATGAACACGATTTTCAAATAATAATGGTAATACATTATTAAGCATAATCATTTGGAAACACAACATGTTAGTTCGCATTATTTTATTGACGAAATATAACTAATGGCTTTCTGTGTTTAAAAACATAATTTTCAAATATTATCAATACGAACAATATCGACATTGCCGTAGTTATCTCATAATCAGGTCCTTTTCTTACTTTTCTACTTCCTGGTTACATTTTCGTCGATTGCGCTAAATATGTATGTTAAATCCGTACACGATTTTGAATCCGATAAAAAATGTGTTGTAATGCTATGAAATAAACCGTCATCGGATCGAACGATGAGGTCATTCGTTGTCAGCAGCGGTACACCAGAGCGTCTAATTATTATTTTTCAATCATTACACAATCGTACGACGTAATCGTCGCGCTGCGACAGTGACGATATACGTGTCGCACTGAAAACCTTTCGAATACACATCAAATGTAAATCACGAGTGATACAGACTCGTCCGAAGTTACTCTGCTGTTGCTCAACAAACAGTAATGTAACTCGTTAACAGCACGTAATAGCTTTAATCACTTTTCTGTACTAACACGATGTGCACATGAACGTATATGAATACGAACCTTAGCACAGTGAAGTATTCGAAAAAAATTAAGGCTAAAATAATAATGGTTCTTAATTTTTCATTCCCGAATTGCGTGTCTCGTTAGTAACGCACATTATAAATAACTACAGAAATATCGGAAATTTTGATATGTTTTTAAAATAGAAAAGTGCATAAAAATGTCGATTAGGTGTTTTAGCGTAAAACCTCTGAATATCAAATTTAATTTAATATATTTAATCGTGGTATCTGTTAACGGATTTCTACTTCGTCTAGTATCAAATATGACTTGGCAAAATGAACGCATGGACTTCCGAGCCAGCAATAAATTTATATAATATCTAGTTCAAATGCCGCCATAGCTTTATCCCCAGTCATAAAATAAAAAGTTTCTGAAAACATATGCCACCCGCGATCGTTGTTAAATGAATTTGAAATTAACCTAGGCACGAGACTAAGCCGAAATACGGCCCTGTCCGGGAAG